AGCCACCTCGTCCCGTATTTTTTTTTTCATAACTCCCGTGGATGTAGCATCTTCTCACATAGTGCAATAACCCCAATGACGATGATGGGCATATGTCTTTGAGGTGTTAAAACTGCTTGGAGGGACACTCGGAATCATGTTACGCGCGTGCACCACAAATTGCCAAGGAGCATAACATGATGTTCAAGGGCACCTGGATCACATTACACGTGTTTCCATGTTCGTTTTCGCTTTCACTAAGAAATGCAAAACAAATGTGGCTCGCTTTCCGATTTGTGCATCCTATTTGTATTTGTCCCATCGTATAAATACGTACCACTTTTATGATGTTAAATTAAACAAAAATTATTCGATACCGTCAGACGCGTCACTACATGACTTTTATTGTTTCAAAGGAAGGCGGCACTCAACAAGGTGTCTATAACGAAAACTCCGCATCTCAAGTTTTTAGTGGGTCTACGACTCTGTGTGAGTGTGTGATTCTACATTCTAGTTGGAATTTTGAAATATTCAAATTCAGTTTTGTGTTTCCCACTGAACTATTTTTTTTGACAGCAGTGTTTTACACTGAACTAGCCTTTGTACAGACACTCGTTATGTCAAAAAAAAAAAAAGAACTTGTAATGATCTCATCAAGCCTTCCGATCCCGATCCGACGTCCGAGAAAGCCCGACCCCGCGCGACCCAGACAAAAGAGTCGGTCTCGCCTCCTCACACCCCACTCGACAGGCTCCACACCGGACCAGCTCGCCGCCACCACCGTCCGCCGCGTCCCCCGCCGCGATCAACCGCCACTCCCTCCTCGCCTCTCGCCGGCGGCCTCCCAGACACCACCATGCAGGCCCGCGTCGTCGTCTTCCCCATCAGGGGCCGCGCCTGGTGCTTCGCCCGCCCGCGCCCCGTCCTCCCCGCCACCTCCGCCTCCGCCTCCGCCGCGGGCAGCGGCGCTCTTCCGCCGCCGCCCACCCTCAAGGACCTCTGGCTCGGGATCTCCGCCGGCGGCCGCACGGCGCCCGAGAATGCCGAGGCCGTGGCCGACTTCGTCGCGGACAAGGTGCTCGACGGAATGCCCCCCACCCTCTCCCCCCTCCTCCGCCCGCCGCATTCATCCTTTACTTATGCGTTTCTCCTAGCCTGTGCCTGCGGTATGCGGTCTTAGGTGGGCGTGAATGAACCATATGATCTCTGCAGCTCCAGTCGAATGTTTTTGGTCCACTTTATGTGGCCGCAGCAAAACCAGCTGATGTTTTCGTTGATCCGATGATGCTAAGCCGTTCTGGATCTCGCCGTGGCTACGTTTCTATTAATTCGTAGAATTTCGTTTTCCAATGTTTAGTTAACATGCATTGATATGTACTGACGTTTTCAGTTGAAATCATTCCCTCCTTGCTACGGCAGAATCTGTTGCGAACTCTGAACCTTGTTGGGAAATGCCATCCTCCACAGATTAATTTCTAGTTTTCTACTGTCTGTTCATGCTTGTAAGTGTGTGATATACTTGGGCCTCCACAGGCCCTTTCTTCAGCAGGGAAATGCATTATGCGTGAGGTTTATTTTGTCTAAGGGTGAAAATGGTACAGAAACAGAGTCTTTCAGAGGCCAAAAAATAAAATTATGAAGACATAAATGGGATGACGACTTCCGGTTGAAACACAAATGGAAGTGAAATTTCTGGATTTACACGTGAAATTTCTGTCCTTATGCATGTATGCCGTCCTCATAGACAGCACATAGTCTGTCTGTTTCCATGTCGTTTCCACCCTACTTGTATTCCTCCATAATAAGATCCATTGCACTAAAGCATGTGCCACTGTAACATGTTTAACCGAGCAAAAGTTACTCGCTAGGGAGAACCAACTATTGATTGAGTAACTAGCATATGTTGTTCGGGTGTGCAGATGAACAGGGCGTGGATTGGTTTCGGCAGCGCGCCGGAGGGATCAGTAAAGAGGCGGATCCACAGGTCGGGCGTTTAAGATTTGGCGTGTGTTGTGTGGAAGGGCGTGGCAAGATCGATCAGACGCTGAGCTTTGTTGTGGTGCAGCTTTGGGTTAAAGCTGCTTTCGCGGGTGCGGCCGTCGGAGACTCTGTTGAAGTCACTGACCAAGGATGTCTCCATGCTTGAAATCGTCCACCCTGCAAGGTAAGTGGTGATAAGCTTGCGTTATTGTTTCTTCATGTCTGTAAAATATGCTTGCCAGTTGGGTTGTATTTTTTTTTCTTTGGGTTTGTGGTGTTCAAATGGTTGGAAGGTGTGAGTGCTTACTGAGTTGATCTTGTATTGCATGTCTTCTGATGTTTGTGATTCTGAATGTAAATAGTACTACCTCTGATCCATAATAAGTGTCACAGTTTTGAACTAGCCCGAGTGCAAAACAGCGACACTTATTTTAGATCGGAGGGAGTATCTGTTATTACTGTAGGTACCGGGTCTCTTTTCCAATCACGTGAGACCCCGCCCAGAAAACGACACGTGTCTAGCACATATCTCAAAGCATCTTCTTCCCCAAAGATATCCCCAGCTGAGCAATCTGTTTAAACCGTGGAGCTCAGACTATTAGCATCTTCTATCTCCTTAATCCCAACTAGTGTGCGCTTCAGCTAGCGAGCCATGACTCAGAAGTCAGAACCAATCGCTCAATTGGTGATGGCTACTGGTGAACCACTTCTGTTCTACTCCAAAACTACAGCATCGTATTGCTAGTTTGTTACTAGCTTGTTCTTTTATCCTTAGCCATCTTCATTGTACAAAAACCATCCAGCCTACCGGCCTCCAAGGCCATCGCGGCATCGCCGGTTCACCGTACTGCAGAGATGTGATCAAAATGGCATGCCCTGCACCTGCAGATTGCCTCCATCGGCGTGGCCATGGCCGTACAGAGTGAGAGTCAGGCAGGCAGGCCGGTTACAGCCACGGGTAGTCAACTGTCATTAGGAGAAGGCTAGCCACGAGATAGACATTGCCGGCCGGTGGGAATTTGGCAGAGATTTAAAGCTTGGAGAAGAAGATGCTTTGAGATGGGTGCCAAACACGTGTCATTTTCTGGGTGGGGTCTCACGTGATGGGGAATGAGACCTGGTCTCATAGAATTTTCTTCCCATTAGCAGGGAATATGCATTGCCGCCAATGATAGAACTAGTTAACTATGAGCAGGAGACAGACATATGTATATATACTTATTTAGGTGGGTTCTGTATGATGAACTTTGTGCATATATCTGGCTTCAACAATTTTTGCAAACTTGTCTTTCCCCTGCCATGCAGTTACCTGGCATTTTTGAACTCACATGCCTTCTCTTACCCCCCTAAGTATTTATTCTAAATCATAATTTGTAACTGCAGTATAAATCCTCGTCTCGTGCGCCGACGCCTGCGGCACATTGCTGTTAGGTGATTGCTTTATGACCTTACAAGTGTATTGTTTAGTTCGATTTAGATCTTTCCTGACACCTTTGTTTCTACATGGTTTTTGAGTATTAGGGGTGCGGCTATTCACAAAAAATATCTGTATGGCAGCATTTGCATGCTTCCAGTAACGAGCGTTTTCATGGTAAGAATTTAAGTGTTAGCTACAATCAATGAAAGTGTGCCTATTGGATTTATTCAAATGTATTCCAAAGATATTGTTATTTTATATCTGTCGTTGATTTTACTGCCGTTAAGAGTTGATCAAATATATCATTAGATCTTCTTTGTGATGGTTACATCATTTAAATATTTGTTTTTGCTGCATTCTAGCCTTCTAGGTTGCGCACATGTCAGTTGGTTGAGGTCTATTACTTGAAGCAACTTCCTTGTGTGCTCGCTCTACTTTGTGGCTTAGTACTTCAAATTAACAGAAGGAAAATAATAAGGTCATTTTGTGTATTGTTAAGATTAGAGAACCAGATTTAGGTTTGTGTTTAGTAGTTAATTATTTATGATGTAGTTATTGTATTTAATTATGCTGGTTACTGGTTTTACCATCATCTGGTTAATCAAAGGATCTGATTGTATGATGCATTGTTGTATTTTATTACGTAAGACAAATAACTTTCATAACAGAACACTCTTTATTCATCTGCAGGTGCTGCCTTTGCCAAACATACCATTTTTTTGGACGCTGTTTCGAGCTTATTCTCACTGGCGAGCTCTCCAGGTTCAAAACATGTCAAACATATTCCAGTTTGTTTGAATTTCAACTTGTGAACATATACTCCCTCAGAAGTCAGCACTAGTCTGTAGTGTGTAGGGCACAATTTGTGCACAAAAATTCCAGAGGATGTAAACTATAGAGGGCATGTAAGTCAAATACGTTATTGAAAGTCTTGTTAATTAGGAAGGGAGTTATTGGCAATGACACAGTTGCTACTTGGTGACTGTTGGAAGGAGCTATACTGCATTGCATGTCTTCTTTTGTTGGTAGAGAGCTAGAGATTACACTATGACATACTACATAGCAAATCTGTGTCAGCAATACATGAATGAAAATATGTAGGTTTTTTTGACATTTATTTTGATGCAGGGAAGCGAGAGACTCCACTTGCTAGTTTCAGACTGCTCAGGTGAAGGGAAAACCCTTCCCGAGAAGAAAAATGGAATGAGTACAAGAAAGGATGACGACTCACAGTATGCTCCTTGGGTAAGTTGACTGTAACTTCAAAATGAGTAAAACCTTCAGATTCTTATATCCTTGGGGTGCCCGAATAATGCCATGAACAGTAACATGTATATTACCATCATTGATGATTAAACATAGGACCTCTCATTACAGATAAGACGTACTATTAGCTAACTGGATTCTTATCACTTACCTACTGTGACCATATTAAGAGAACCTGGAATAAATTTCACATAATTGATTTAGACATGTGTTATACTCAAATATGTCCACTTAGTTATCTTTTTAAATGTACGCTCCTAGGAATTGTGCAAAAGAGATTTGTGGAAGTATTTAAACTAAAAACAGTTTATCTACTTGCATAGAGTTTTTCAGTTTACTACGCTCCTAGGAATCATGCCCATGGGGCCTTACGTGTGACTAAAATTATATTTCAGTGACTTGTACCATGCATGTCATGTCCTCAATGGTAAAATGTATGTAGTATAAGATTACACAATCGAGTCATTGATGATCAAACATGGAACCTCTCATCACGACATGTGATATACTATTAGCTAAACTGAGTTCTTATCACTTACCTACTGTGACCATATTGAGTGAACCTGGAGTATATTCACAATGAAGTTTTGTCAAAAGGTTCCATGGAGGGTTCTTCGGGCCGCTTGATTGGTCTAGTCATGCTGCGTCTTTAAGTATACACACCCAAATGAGATTTGTGGCAAGAAGTAGTTCAATTAAAAAAAGTCATCTACTTGAACAGAATTCTTCTATTTAGTAGGCCTGATTTGTTTGACCTCGGGCGTATGTCCATACTTAGACGCAAGCATGTGCGTACACAGAAAGGCATGTATGACCATGACTTTGGATGGATGAATTTATTGTTAGTAGCTTTCTTCTGGCATGCCAGACTTCCTGATAGAACAATCAATCATTGAGCAATCATCACAATCAGACAATCAGTTCTGTTAGTATATCTTTCTGTAGCTCATGCAGTTTGGTGTGGCCTGCCTGGGTTATTAAACTTATTATAGTACATCATTAGGTGATAGTGCGACTGTTTGTTCATCTTACATGGGTAATCACAATAGTGAAAAAGAGGATACTTGCACCTTGGCCTTGAGTAGTTACCAGTTTTGGCATAGCTTTTACTGCGAGCCTGCGAATGTATGGTTTCTCTGGCAATCAAGCATGTTGATGTATAACTTTTAGTTGAAATATAAAAACGATATTTTCAGTTTTACTGCAATGAACCATGATCTTGTTCCCCACAGAGTTCATTGTTTTTCTTCACTTATTGGAGTTCTCACTTCTCAGCGCTCTATAACCTGCCCCCACTACGAATGGACAGACAAATCTTCAGAATTCCATATTTAGCATCATAAGATGATCAATGTTCTGTAATATAATACTCCCTCCGTAAAGAAATATAAGAGCGTTTAGATCATGATCTAAATGCTCTTATATTTCTTTACGAAGGGAGTACATCTCGGGCAGTTTTGTCCAAATAAGAGTCATTGGGTTGTGGGGTAATGGTTGCTTTCATGGTTGCTCTTGCGCCCCTCTTATCATATGCATGTAGTCTCATGTGTGACTGAAACTATATTTGAGTGAATTGTAGCATTCATCTCATTTCCTGGATGGTCAATTATCTTACTGTGGTTATTTCATTCAACAGAACTTTCAGCCATCACAGAAGCTCGATGGGTTCCTTAAGAGGAGAGGCTTGGATGAGGGTCTGGATTGCGACACTATTTCAAGGATATGCCAGACGTACGACTTGGACAAGGTTGATGTCCTGAAGTACAGGGATCTGGAGTGGCCTAGCTCAGCTTCTCGCACTACCTAGGGATTCTTTGCCCACCGATGTCTGTACGGTAAAACAACTCTACTGGATGATAACTGCTGGAGGGTGATCAGGCTGGATCTTTTTTGCTTGGGACATGAACATTTTAACCGGCATGGCGGATCATGTGGTGCCCGCATTAATCTGCTGCTAGCTTAGAAAGCTGAGAAACGAAGAGGACCTCTGAAACCGTAGCAACCCCATATGGTGACCCCCCGTTGCTCTGTACCCAGGGTGTAAATAGAGTTTGGTGGTGACCTTCTACACCTGCCGTTTCTTTACCATTTCAGCACCTCTCGGTGATAGGAGTCTGTTTGCCTGCTCAAATCAACAGCTGGGTACTGAGGTTGAACATGACCTTTCTTAATTTTGTTTTCTTCTATCCATGCATCTGAATTCTGAATCCATCTTTGGTCAGATCTGAATCTTGCCAGGATCTTGTCTCTGCAGAGCAAGCAGAAATGAAATTGGTCTTTATGCTGATGTGTTTGTGGTGATTTTCACTTTGAAGACCAGCTTATTATTGCTTATCTTTTGACTGACCCAACTCTAGTAAGTACTTCCTACGTCTTCCATTGATTGCATGTCATAACAAGGATTTTTTTTGTTGGAAAGGCTGGCTGCCAACTAAACTACGAAAAAAGTTAGGAAAACGACGTCGATACATCATGGATTTACTGTGTACTGAATCCTTGAAACGGACTCGTACATATGATGATTAAGTGCGATTGCAGTTTGCTGCTGGGACTGGAGTAGATCGAGATGGGGCCGAGGCCAGCCAGTGTCCGTCCTCTGCTGTGCAGCTTGAAGCCTATCCATGCATATAGGGGCGGCGGTACGTGTTGAGCGCGACGTCTCTTCGACTATCTTTGTCGCAAATTGTGGTCCATGTGTTCTTTTGCGAAGAAAACTTTCAATCTATTCATCGACTGAGCGTCTACAGGTGATAAGATGCCCCGCCTGTGGCATGCACCGTCTAACAAATGGATTGCTACTGTCAATTGAAAAAAGAGACTGGATCGCTCGTAACTAGGTTCATAGTGAAACAACCATAAGTTCCAATATTTTGTAGAGGGAAATAACAGCATACATAAAAGAGAGAGGGAAATAACTTGAAACTGTAACCTGAACCTAGCTCTTGTGTAATTGTGGGAAGCAAATTATACGTACACAGAAACTACCAAATGGACGACTCACGCCCTATGGACAAATCCGACGGATGCTAGGAATCGCTAGTCTAGTGGTTCCCTTTTTTTCTTTAGGCCTCTTTTTTTTTTGCGGAAAAACTTTCAATCTATTCATCTTCAATCATGGTAGTACAACGGACACTAGAAATAATAAAAATTACATTCAGAACCGTAGACCACCTAGCGACGACTACAAGCACTGAAGCGAGCCGAAGGCGCGCCGCTGTCATCGCCCCTTCCTCGACAGAGCCGGGCAAACATTGTTGTAGTAGACAGTCGGGAAGTCGTCGTGCTAAGACCCCATGGAACCAACGCACCAGAACAACAACCGCCGCAGATGAAGAGTGTAGATCAAAAGGATCCAACCTGAAGACACACGAACGAAGACGAACGACGAACAGATCCGAGCAAATCCACCAAAGACAGATCCGCCGGAGACACACCTCCACACGCCCACCGATGATGCTACACACATCACCGGAACGGGGACTAGACGGGAAGACCTTTATTCCATCTTCAGGGAGCCGCCGCCGTCTCGCCTTCCTGAACAGGACATAAACCCTAACAAAGCTCGAAAAAAAATATGAAAGCGGAACCCTCCCACCGGCATGGGCCGAGATCCACTCCACCTCCATGGCCCTAAGGCCACCGGAGACGGGACGGACCGGCACCGGCGCCGGTGGGAGGCAAAGAACCCTAGTTTTGGGGAAGCGGCGGCTGGGTACGAGGCGATCCGAGCGAGCTTTTTTTTGAGGGAGAGCGAGCGACGCGTTGGATGGATGGTTTTCTTTAGGCCTCTTTTGGTTTGCAGGAATTCTAAACGATAGGAATTTTGTAGATTTTTTTTTCTTTGGAGCCTTTTGATTTGTAGAAATATAATCCTATCCTTTTTTTTAATAAAAATAGATTCCTGTTCCTATACATGATAGGAACCAACCCTTTGTATTTCAAAGAAAAAAATATATTAGCCTAGATGCAATGAAAAAAGAATCATATCCTATGAACCAGATAACATATTTCTCTACAGGATTTGAGATATATGTCATCTCATTTTCTATGGCTTTTTTATATTTCTATAATATTACTGTTCTATGAACCATAGGATGCCTTACTATGTCCATCTCACCTGGGGCCTTGCACTACTCCTCACAGCCCACCCCCTTTGTTCCCCGCGCTCCAACAACTAATTTCTGTTATTCAAATAAACCACATGATACCATCATCAACTAGGGCAACCATAATCCTATGAGCGACTTCTTTCTTATACGTACGCAATGTCTGAAGATATACATATCAGAATTTCTAGTTAACCGACTTGTACAATAGTACCCAATCATTGTCGTAAACACATGTTTTAGGCCCTGTTTGGTAGCAAAGTATTTTCTAAGTTTTCTGTGAATACTACAGTCTTTTAGATTACCGTAGTTTTATTTACAATGAGCTGTTTGATTGCCCCTAAAAACTGTGGTTTTAATACTACAATATAGGCAAAACTGCAGTTTTTTCTCTGCATAAAAAAAAAGAACCCAACACCTCTTTTTTTTAAAACTGAGCAACCGAAAAGAACAATGCAATGCGTCTAGCTTGGCTGTGCGGTTGTAGTTCGTGCAGCTTTATGACATGGTGAAGTTGCTACCGGCTACGCCATGCTGCCGGGTGCCCTCTTTGCCTCTTTGGTAACCTATAAGCCCTGAGCGTAGGTGTTCAATGGAGGTCACTTTGTGCTAGCTTCCGTTCTTATGCATCCAGATGGCAATGGCTAGCTAGCTAGAAAAATGGCTGCTCTATTGCCGTGTACATGGCCGGTCTTAGTCTGGTCAGTTGGGGCATGCAACTACGCTGGTAAACTGAATTGTTCGCTAGCTAGCATTTTTTCGTCGCTGCACCAAACAGGTCCTTAGTATCGCGAATACTCTGAAATATTATGTTGTGTCAAAACCATGGTATTTGATACCTACAGGATAAATTACTGTAGTTTTTTGATACTTTGGTTTTTACAGTACTTTACTATCAAACATAGCCTTAATTCTATAGTCTTGTCAACTGGTATCCCAGGGGAAGCTCCAAAACCTTGTATTTATGGTGTTTGGTGGTGGTGGAGCAATACCTTCTCTATCTTGACGTTTATGTGGACCATCGTGGTTGATGCGGAGGAATGCAAATACACCAGCTGTTATAAAAAAATAACTTTTAACAATCATTGCAGCTCAACAACGACCCTCAACATGGAGACGGTGCACAAATGAATTAAAAGACCAAGAGAGGGACTCTCCTGCCTCGAGGCAGCATTCCAATAATATGATAATATTATGATGGTTTTTATTACATAGAGGATGGCTACCTCATCTATGAAACTATAAATCTCGTTTCGTGCAGTAATTTTTGACTTCTTCATAGCGACCACTTGTTGGTTTGATACATAGTTACATGTTCGTCTGTACCTATTTTGTGTGCCTCAACAAAATTATTGGTCCAGGAAGAGCATCTCACAATAATATCATGCTCGAGGACATGAA